AGCAATGAGTGATAAGCGCTCTCTCGATCAATGATACTTCTTGATAAAACTCTTTATCTTCCTTCGTCAGCTACCATAGTTGAGGTGGAGCAGGTTAGCGGGAGATCTTGATGGGACCTACCCTATACAAAATATATTTCCTTTCTACTTCCCGGTTGGGTCACACCTCGTAATTTACGGCTGTAAATCGGAACTCGATCCGTACTCTCGAACAGCGAAAAACTAAGCTTTGTTCTGCTGCTGGGTGCTGATGATATTATGATAATAATGATGATATTACTATTATTCACTGTGAACCTGTCCTGGCATAAATAGACCAACTAGAGAAACCAACCTTCACAGCGGTCAATTCTTGACTGAGACTGAGATCGTGGAGTATTCTGTTGAGTTGTACCTCCACTTTGCCCCTGACTTGGATTGTTTGATTCAGCACTTTGTGATTGACTTGGTTTGGTTGAATCCGCATTTGGTGGTTGACTGGAATTGGTCGAATCTGCACTTGATGCTGTACCAGTAGACATACTTGCGGGGACGCAGGAATGAGAATGACCTCCTAACCCTACTTCACACTGACGGCATCAAAATATTTACTAACTGATAGTACTGATAGCATGGCATACTTCGCAATTTTGATGGAGATACATTGTCAAGCTGGTCGATTCACACTATAGATAATCATGACATCTGCAAATCCCACAGATGTCGCTGAATCGAAGAAATTAAGGCCACCTGTAGTTAGAACAGAGTCTGCTTTAGCTACACCTCGCCGCCTCGCTAACTGCCGGTACAGAAGCAAAATGCTCGTCGTCAATGCGCCATCTCAATCTCTGAAGTAGAGAATGACAAAATTTGAATTCCCGCTAGAAGTTTGCAGCGAAATCATTGCCTCGTGCAAGTCTGCGACCGTTGGAATTCGCGTACAAAGTTTCCTATCCCNCCCTACGATGCTGCAGTGATGGAACACCTCACTAGCTGTTGCCGATGTCTATACATAAAGAAGGAAATGAAAGAGACAGTAGAGACAGGATAAGTGATCTAAATCCGGCTCCAGGCTCCAGCAAAAGATATGACCCTAGAGGAACGACTTTCAGATATGAACGTTCTGTTTGCTTGTATGTGATAAGTGATGATAACATCTCACATTCAGCAATGGATTCATAGTATGGACCATTTGTTATTGTTACGTCATATTAGTGGGGTGTATGTACTTATTTTCCCCAACCTTACATGCAGATAATTTGATCAAGTACGTCGTTTTCCCGAACCCATCGACCCAATACACCCTCCACGCTCTTTATGTGTATTCCAGGACAATATCATAATTATAAAAAGATTCACTTCATAATGTGTTTGCGAAAGAAAACACCAAATGCAAAATTTAATCATCATCCAGCATTTGCGGTAAGGCTGTTAATCTCCAACGTAACTGAGCCTCCGTAATGTTGTTCCCATACTAAATGTTGTTCTCGGGTAGCGGTGTATTAGATTGCACCATACTCACATGTTACTGACCATTATCACTGCTTATCACTAGGTATCACTTTCTACTACCAAGTATCAGCGCTTCATCCTACTGCTTCGTCGTCGCGAGATCGGTCGAAAAAACATAACATAGCTCAAACAATGTCATTAGCTTAATACGAACCACAACTCAAGGATCTAACAACTCTTACTAGCTCCCACAAAGCAAGCCTCTCTGCTGAGAACAGCGACAACCAAAGGGCTCGTTCACCAAAACCATTAAGATTACCAAAACAAGGTGGCATCGACCCTCGTCATACGGTTTAGCACTCTACGAGCTGGAAGGAATTTCAAAACAAAGGCGAAAAATTTGATCAAACTAAGCCTATTCCGCATTCGGTCCTCCGTCTGGCCAACCCAAGATGACGGGTTATACCCACGTCAACGAAATTTTGTCATAATCGTGTAGCTCGTTGGGCAGACGAGATTCTTATGTTGGAATCAGTAAATTTCAGCCACAAACATTTCGTGGTGCCGAGATGACTCCCGGTCAACCGCCACCATTAGGAGGTGCAGAACAGGGCGCCGATAATGTCGTGATAAGAGACTCAAAGGAGAAATATAAGGCAGAAGGAGGAGTGAGTTTGCAAATAGTCGAATTCGTATTCACCTAGAAATATCCATTTGGTTCAGAAAATGTTTGCTCGTGGATTTCCTTCTCCTGAGTTTGTAAGTTCTTTTTTTTTGGAACAGTTAAATAGAAAAGTTTAAACGGAGGTTCTTAATGGTAGAGATATGCGCTGAGGAAGTACCTGCTTGCACTGACACCCTGAAATCGTTTCTGCAATACAGACCCGCAGGCGATGTACTGAGGCATGGGTCGCGCGTGCGCGTCTGTGTCGTGAGCAGGTCTCGAATTTGGCGGGCGTGAAGTCTGAACGCGACTTCATTGGCAATTCCATGGCTACGACCTGACAACTGTGAAGGGAACATTGCACAGTGCCAGTAATACAAACTCTTTGAGTCATTTGATTGTAACTACCTCGAATACTTGACCCAAATACAATAGCAGTTGGACTTGAATTAAAGAAGACCAAAGGGTAACTTGAATTAAAGAAGACTAAAGAATAAAGTCTTGGTGCATTAATCATTCCCGTCAGGAGGATCCCACGCATTCGACTCCCATTCGGAATCGTAATAGCGTTAGAATGCGTATGTGGCCTATACAATGAGTGCGGTGGTCATCCGATGTACAAGTCAGTGCTTTTATCCTCCCAGACAAGTCTGGTGCTAATTAGCAGGCCCCGCAGAGATGAAAAGCTTGGTTGACCTAAGCGGATATCGATCCGGGACTGAAAAAGAAGTAAAATCAGTAATTCTGCAATCCAACCAATTATGTTACAGGTAAAACGACGGAGGGACGATGACACGTTGCGAGAAGTTGGTAATGTCATGCCTGAGTATGACTGTGATAAGGTACAGTTCCTGATGCGAAAACCGTTTGCCCAACCATCTCTCAAAGGCTTTCTTCCCGTCGTGACATTGAGATGCTTTGAAATTCCCCGAAGCCCTCTCCCAGACCTCTCCTCACTCCTCAGCAAACTAATACAATGAACCACCCCCGGTAACCCCGCTTCCTCACAAGTCACGTCGTCGGGTAAGCAAACACCTTCCGACACACCAGACGATGCCAACCAGCCTACTATACAGGGCATCAAAAAAGTTTCGTTGGTCTGGGAAGTTACCGAACCAGAATACAGTCTTTAGACCCTGTGATAGTGTGCCACTTGAGCCTTCATAATCCTCCTTCGTCCCCTAGTTCTCGAATCTTTTCTTCACTTTAAGACTTTGCTGAGGTTTCTTTTCACTGTTTTGTAGCCTAGTTTTTTCAGGACGACCCGCAGCCACTGAAACAAGTCGAGAAAACTCAAGACTTCAGCCTCAAAGGGAATACGAGTGGTGATCTAGCTGTTACCTGAACACTAACTTAAACTCGGTTAATAAAATTTTGAATTAAACCTGTACCACATTGAGCCTTTTGCACAGTTAATTGGTCTGAATCAACCGATTCCATAGCGCTATCAGCTCGAGGATCGTTCGAAATGGGCTTCAAAGCTATTATCGGTCACTTAGATGCCCACTGTCCAAACAGCGCTTCAACTTTCGCAAGCATGTAGGGTGCAAGTAGAAGTTAAGAAACTTGGGTAGGGTCAGGATTCCGTACCTCAGTCCCATTGTAGTGGAAGTAGAAGCTCGAGAGCCTCCACGAATCCGAAGATGAGTTGGATTACATTTCATTAATCTATATTTTTACCAGAGGGATCACTGATTACACGAAGTCACACTTCAACGGTGTTATTATCCATTACAGCTATGTACAAATTCAAATATAAGTAATGGCCAGAAGAATGCATCAGATGTGAGCGATTACAGACAAAACAGCTGTATTGGTAACGAAAAAGGAGTATATTTGAGAGGTAGCACCAATCCGGACATGGTGCGGCAACTCTTAGCTAGTTGTCCACCGCGCGACGCGCCGTTCGGGACTACTGCTCTCTAACCCGACATACGTAGCAATACCTAGCTCTTCAAAATCAGTGGTGTTTCAATTTTGTTTGTTGAGGTTGTAAACACCACGAAATAAAGGGCCTTAGGAACACAAATAGACATACATATGTAATTAGACATAATGTGATGATCCCAACAAAAATGACGTCAAGGTTGAAATAGACGATAAAGTTCATGCGTGAGCCTTCAACATGAAGCTCGTCCAAAACGCCATTTTCGACGGCAAAATTCGTCCAACGGACTAGTCGTTCTTCAGCTGAGAACGGCTTTTCTGACATCAGCTTCGCTATCCGAATAGCATTCTTCTTGTAACTGCAAACCAGTGAATGAATTGATGATCAACACAAGAAAGCCCTGGGAAAGCTCTTCAGGAACCCCTGTCTCCCTGCAGTGGTCTCGGAAGGCTGCCAAGAATACAAAAATTTAAAAAAAAAATTGTTGAAACACGTTTTATGATTTTTGAATGCCTGGTGTCACCTCCTTAAAAAGGTATCAAGAGCAGTGGTCAAAAAATATCGAAAAAATGTAAATCAAATGTAACCCCTACCTTTCATTATTGAGCACTTCTTCTATTGTCGTTTTTATATTCTGCTCAGTCAATTCCAATTTTAGGATAACCTAAAATAGGGCATAAAAAGAGATGATTATTAGTGATATTAGATGATAACTATGAGAGAAATTTGAAGAATTCTTGAAATCCCTTCTCAAACAATTATATCCGAGGGTTTCTCGAAAGTGCATTGCCACCTAATGTCCAGCAAATTGCATTATAAAAAATAGTTTAATGCGAATTTGAATCACTAATCTGGAACAATTTATATAATTTAATCAGACTGACAACTCATTTAAACAGACCTTTCCCACTCCGCGTTTCTCAGCATTTCTTCCATTTCTAAACTGATCAGCAAATATTGGTATAACCACAACCGGTACCGCTCTCAACAAGGCTTCCATCATACCATTTATGCCACCATGCATTACAAACAGTTTCAATCGTGGATGTGCTGAAAAAATTCAGTTACTGTGAAGGAAGTTTTGTAGATACACCTAAACACATAAGGTAATAGGATCAGACAAAGTGCTGAAAAACTTCCTCAAAAAGAGAACTAAAGCTAAAGAAATCTTTCCACAAAAAATTCCTTCCTGAAAGCTCTATTTTATACGGGCGTAAAAAAATCTAGCACGAAACAACATTCCAAACAAACCTAAAATATCGCTTTGTGGCAGCCATTCTATCAAATCACAGTTCTTGACTCCTTTCATGAACGTATGGGTAGTATTGTCGCCTGAAAACAGAAAAATAGGTTAGAAAATTGATTCATCCGTGAAAGACACGCCATGCACTCGTACGTTACTGAGTTTTATGGAAGCTGCTCTGCTGCTCTCTGCTCTCTAACCCTCCTCCCTGAAGAAGACTTCTATCGTATCTGCGGTCGCAGGAACGAAGTCAATCTGCCTGGGACCTTTCACTGGTATTTTTCCAATTCTGATTCTCTCAGCTGGGAACCAGAGGCGCTAGAAGTTCATTTCACTGAACTATGCTTGAAACGTGATCTCGTCCGAAAGCATAATTTTAAGAGATGAAACCAAGCATTCCAATAAGAAACAGACCACAAAATGATGGGATTCAGATGACTATATTTATATGTTTTATGTCAGACTACTAGTCAATTTGGTCGCTATTTGGAGGGTTTAATGGGAAAGAGGCGGTGTCGATTTATGTTCTTTTTGATTATCCCTTTGTGCGAAAGATAAGGCACCAATAGTCTGCGACTAGTAAGAACAACCAGCCACTATTGAAGCCGTCGGTGTTCGTCACCCAATGAGGTTTTCACGGATTAACCGCCATACTGCTAATACATATCCACTAGTGAGACAATTCACCAATTGGGGTTGAAAATACTTATCTTGACTTTTGTCATACCCTCCCACTTCGGAGCATGCTCCGCCCATCGGAAAAAGATAAAGGGAACAAAGTTTCTGAATAGGAGTGGAGTGCTCGACTGATGCGGGGTAGCTCGATGAGCCTCCCAAGGAGACCACTTTCACTCTACAATAAATTCTCTCCTCGGCTCAGTTCGCCTTACCCCGATCTCAGAATATCCTTACAATTAGCACAGAACGAGAATCTTTTATTCGACCACCGTCTACTTCATGAATTAGCTCTCGCGCTCTGATATCTCACGTTTGGCCAGCAAGCATAAACTGCATTTGCCTCCCAAATAACCTATTATCATAAAAAAAANNAAAAAAACATTAAATCACCAACAAAAATTAATTGAGAACATGTTGTCGTACCCTTGGCGATTTTCAGAATGAAATGATAGTCGGCCAACGACTTGAACACAGAAACGAATGCCTTTTTGGTGGCATCTGGGAACGCATGGAATGGGGCAATTGTACCCAAAGAGACGATAATAACACCCTTTTTGCCTTTCTTCATCAAGGCTGAAAACTTCTGAAACAAAACCTTGGAATCGATCTAATCAATACTAATCGTACTGTCGATCCCATGCAATAGTCCGTACCTCATTCAATGGTTTAGGCTCACTGATACCAAGTCCACCAATGTAGATGGTTTTATGAATGATCGGTCGAGGAAAGTCGAACATTTCGTCAGCATTTACAAAACATAAACTTGCATTCGCTGCTATCTCTCGAACATTCGGAAAAGTAGGGTCAAATTGTCGAAAAACCTGGAATGGCCAAAATTAACATGAAGAATAAAAGAAATGGAGCTCCCCTCACTTGTACCTGAATGACTTTCATCTTTTATGAGCTGGTTTCAGAAAGAAGTAGGGCAATGACGCGCAGAGGCCCTATCACCTGGACGGTTCCCAAGATCGAGGGCCACTTCTCATCCATTTTTTTCACTTTTCCTCATAGTAGTCATTCCATTTCTAGTCTCATACGTCAAGGAAGGTCTCCGTGCGAGTAGATGGCTGGCTGTGAACGCAGCGACACCATCAGGTCCAGGGGAAGTTACAAGGGCCTGCTCACTCCCGTACGGGAGAAGGTGAAAGCAAAGTATGCGGAGTAAGTCGACAGTAGCTTACACTGACTTGGCTCCATACCGATGCAACGGAAAGCCAGACAGGGCTTCCGTGGTGAATGTGATGGTCATAATATAATGAAAAAACATGCCTCGGTGGTCATGTCCGTACCCTTACGATGGGTGTAGATAGCTCCGAAATACATGTACTGATTAAAAGCCCTCTGCCAGAAGTTCATAGTGTCGCCGTTATCATTCTCCTCGATAGTAGGCACATATGAAGGTGGTGCTGGGACTCCTGAAACAGCATCGACCTTCATGTAGGTAACAATCTTCAGGAAGGGAAGAACTCATAAGAATCAGACATGATCTCTAGTAATCCCTGACGGTAAGATAGGCTACGGCGTTATCGCAAGTTGGACATGATCGATAATAACTTCAAGCTTTTACTGCTATGGCTCCAAAAATGTTTCTATATAGTAAGATGAACATCTCAAGTTCAATTTGATAGGAAAACCTAGCCTACTCAAAAAAGGGAGTCCATTGAAGTAAAACAAAGCAATACCTAGGTTATAGCTTACAGCATCCATTAGTGGTGTCGTTGAGATCCATAGCAGATTCCTAATTCCAAGGTACCTAGAAGCCCGTAGTAGAAATAAGTCCGAGCTAGAAAAATGATGAAGACAGAACCGAAATTAACTGCTCGGATTCACCTTATCACGCCGATACCACAGAGATCAATTTGTTCAGCAAATGCNCGATAATAACTTCAAGCTTTTACTGCTACGGCTCCAAAAATGTTTCTATATAGTAAGGTGAACATCTCAAGTTCAATTTGATAGGAAAAGCTAGCCTACTCAAAAAAGGGAGTCCATTGAAGTAAAACAAAGCAATACCTAGGTTATAGCTTACAGCATCCATTAGTGGTGTAGTTGAGATCCATAGCAGATTCCTAATTCCAAGGTACCTAGAAGCCAGTGGTAGAAATAACTCCGAGGTAGAAAAATGATGAAGACAGAACCGAAAGTAACTGCTCGGATTCACCTTATCACGCCGATACCACAGAGATCAATTTGTTCAGCAAATGCTGCATCGAATCCATAGTTTTTGAGCGGCTCTAGCTCATTACGACGAGCCATTATTGCTAAATAATTACAACCTTAATTTGAACAAAAGGGTAGTTTCAGGATTGCCCTAGCAAATAAGTGAATTAATAAATAAGTAATAATATATAATTAATACTCACCCCTGCATATTTCAGTGAGACAATATTCGAATTCCAGCCTTTCTGTAAAGCTCAGTCTGGCCTGTTTCATCAACCCAACCTCGCCGCCAAGAAGGCCATCTTCGTATAGTTTACCTAGCAAAAAACGCACGTCGCAGTAAACCAAGTGCTACCCTCTTTGGTCATCACAGCAAATATCTGTGTTTTATGATATCTATTATTAATGATAACAGAAGGTTCTGAATGATACATCTGATAATAATGATAGCAAAAGGTAATGTGTAACAATGTTATTTTTCAATCGGAACTTCTATCCATAGTTTATACTTGTTACGCGCAGCTCAGGGAGCTCACCTTCCACTATTTCTTTACATAAGTGTAGAGTATGGTGCAACATCATGAACTTCACTAGCACTGGTTACTTGAACTTTTGGCAGAAGGTGGAGATAGGGTGAATAACTCACACAAACAATCTGCTTCATCCTCTTGGACGATGGACACGCCACAGAATGACCCCCTCCCTCCCCCCTCCCCCCCTCACGCCGGCTGTCAGGGGCTGTTTGGAGCCCTTACTTGGCCATTTCTGCGCATTTTTCAAAGCAACAAAGGTCCTTTCCTTTTCAATCCCCTGCATCCTTCCAGCAGAAAATGAAACCAAGTTTTATCACAGTTGTTTCTATTAGAGTTTTTTGTGATTTTGCATGCTATTGCAACAGATCTTAAAATCACTTCTATTTTGAAGGGAATCACCAAAGAAACCACTTACTGATGTTGTTCATACGAATAACCTTCGCAAGCTTCGTGCCATTAAAATTTGATGTTGAAGACATGTATTCCGGAATAAACATTACCTAAAACTAACAACTCCTCGATTAATATTATTGGAAACGGCTTGATAATGAAAATTTTTAGTTCCAGTACAGATAATCCATGTAAATAGTTGCCCTGGATTTGAACTTAAACTTGAACTCTTGAACTCGATCTTTTGGTCTCAAATTTGTCGCGGAAAATCTTGCAAGTAGTACTGTAGGTTATAAATGTGCGTTCATGTGTCTGAACAATTCTGTCGGGGTATCAAGGACTGATCGGGAACATCCCAAAACGGGTTCAATTAAACATTGCTCTTTTTGTTATCAACAGCAAAGGTCAGACTTTTGAGAACGGAATCATTTGCAAATCACGGCTAACCGATACAAAAAGCATCTTCCTGGTGACAAATGAATTGCAGCGATAATCAGCGGTCACCAAAAGAAATCAAACCAAATCAGACTGTATCTACTCAAGGTGACAGCTCTAAGGTAATTGTAGGTAACGATTAACCAATCGCGCACGGTACTTCATGAGTGTAATGGGAGGAAGCCCGGTAGCGACAGAGCGCAATTACAGGTTCGATCCCTGCCTGATTGTGATCTTTGTAACGTTTTGTCTACAACTCGGTAATATGGGAAGCGTCGCCCTCTTCACCGACTTGATGAAGGACACGATAACATCGCTCACATTTTACCAGAAAAATGCTGAAAAATCAGAAAAGCAATCGGAAATATGGTCACTATAAAATATTGTATTATATTCGATGAGCGAAGGTGGTGTAGTAGCAATTGGCGCGCTACCACACAAGTATAGTCCGGGGTTCGAACCCCGTATCTGTACTAGGCTAGGCCAACCAAGCTTCCTTCCCTCAGGTGCCGCTAAATAGATGTCAGACTCTTCTGAGGGGATAAAAGCACTGGCTTACACCTCAGTTGGCCACCGTAATGCATTGTTTAGGCCACACTCGCATTCAATACGCCACTACAATTCTGAATAGAGACCGAATGCGGGGCGCATCCCATAAACAGGATTGGTCAACACTGAAGGCTTTATCCTATATGGGAACACAGAAATTCTTTAATTTTGAATAAGGAGGCTCTGCAAGGTATGAAATACTTCCGTATCGATTTCATTTGCACTTACCACATCATGTCCAGCCCTTACTAGGGTGTCAGCAATTCTGCCATTNAGGCCAACCAAGCTTCCTTCCCTCAGGTGCCGCTAAATTGATGTCAGACTCTTCTGAGGGGGTAAAAGCACTGGCTTACACCTCAGTTGGCCACCGTAATGCACTGTTTAGGCCACACTCGCATTCAATACGCCACGACAATTCTGATTAGAGACCGAATGCGGGGCGCATCCCAGAAACAGGATTGGTCAACACTGAAGGCTTTATCCTATATGGGAACACAGAAATTCTTTAATTTTGAATAAGGAGGCTCTGCAAGGTATGAAATACTTCTGTATCGATTTCATTGGCACTTACCACATCATGTCCAGCCCTTACTAGGGTGTCAGCAATTCTGCCATTCGAGATAAGATGGCTATAACTGATCGATGGACTGTAGATAAGAATTTTGCCGGCATCGACGATGGCAACGACAGCAGCGATGACGGCAAGACTCCAGAAAGGAAACTGCGGCATCTGAGGACGATTTCTGGTCAGAATGCTATCGAACGAGGCCGGTAAACTTCTGACGACGACTATCAATCGGGTTACACAGATGATAAGGAGGGTCAGGTACGTAGGTACTTGACGGCTGTTGCGATTAGCTTTTTCAGACCTTAACGTTCTGCTAGAAAAGGCAGAAAAGAAAAGCTATCAATGGCCTATAGCGACTGATAGGAAAAGAAAAATGAAAGTAAAATTGTAGGATGGTCGAATTAGGAAGGAACCAGTTTGACGAGTTGACAGTTGTGGTTGCCATCAATTGTAATGGCATGTTGTGAACCCAATGGAGCGACCATCTAAGTTCACAACTGTGTTCAGCTGATAGTTAGTTGATAAACAGACTCTCCGTGTAGTCTGAGAGTATGAGCAAACATTTTTTGATTTACTCGGCAAAGTGTTTACCGTCTGTTCGTCTCCTGCTTGGCCAACTCGATTAATTCCCATAGAAACTCTATTCATTCGGGGAATTTCGTTCAAACTCACCTTCATCACAGTCTTCAACAGAACATACCAAACCTGGACTTCTGATTGGGCATTCTGGGGGGCTGTTATAATTTTTTTATTTTTCAAAGGTCTCATGTAGACGAAAGCCGTTCGAAATTACCTACAGTACACAGGGTAAGCGGATTGAGGGGAAGCTAGAACTTCCGTGGAAAGAGGAAAAATCTTCAAAGGAAAAGTAGAAAACGAGTAGAGCATTGGATCTAATTATTAATGTTAATCGACAGAATAGAACAGGAACCCTATTAGAAGAAAATATTTGCTGATATAGGACCAACTGGAACTGAACTGCGTTGAAATAGGCGTTTGAAGGTTTTTGGAAAACTCCAAAAATCGATCATGTTGTTCAAACAAACCCCTGCCAACAAATCAAGTGCCTCCAAACACTGTTGAGGTGTGAGGTCATCAGACAAAAACATTAGAACCATCCCGGAGTTGTCAGCTCACTCAGAAATTAGTTTTCAAAGCTTCAAAGGACTTACCTGCAAAAGGTTCCTAACGATTTGTTGAAACTGGTATTAGATATTCCTGAATGTTCAAGCTAATCGAGGACCCATGAGGAAAGTAACCAAGACGAAGTAATAGCGGTGCATGCGCCTTTTTTATCTTTATAAATGACAGGAATGCTCGTCTTGGGGTTGATTTTTTAGGCTGACTGAGTCAACTTCGGAGCAGCGGGCTCAAGGTGGACTCATTGTAGCCACCCACTGAAGCTTTGCATTCGCCCAACGGACCTTTGAGCTGTCAACTGTACCGAGAGTCTAGTCCTCACCGCCAAAGCAATGTCTAAACAATTGTACAATGCAGATTCATTTATGATATCTGAGTTCAAGGATCCCTCATGTTTGTTTAGTGTGTGTTTGTTTGTTTGCCATGTTTTTCACTACTTTCTTATGAGTTTTCTTTTTAATTTGTGGAAAAAAAACTGAATGGACGTTTGCGCTTCACAGTCAGATTGAATATATGGAGCCCTAAAGGCTGACAGGTGAGTAAAATTGGATCGTATGTGAGAAAAACAGCCATATTTGATGGTTCCAACGCGAACAGGCTATGTATAAGGGCATTCCAGGGCATTATATGTTGAGGGCCTAAGGTCTACACATCGAAAAGTACGAGAAATTCTCTTCATTTCATTAAATTGTAATTTCATTTCCAAAAAATATTAGAGTTCGTGCTAGACATGTCCCATTGGCTGCTTTCATAGTCCACGATTTGGCGAGTCCACGTCGCGGGACTGGTCGCTCGGTCGCTCGCTCGATGGGTCCGCGACCGGTCGCTCGCCAAATCGTGGGCTATGAAAGCAGCCATTAATTGTGATCCTCCTCAAGACTACATCTAGCGCTTCTTTTTCCTACAAGTGCCATTCCAATTCAACTTGCCAATTTCATGTTTTCCACAATTGTATTCTCCTGCTTGTACTTCAACAACATACTTAAAAGAAATGCCTCAGGCGCCTCAGAGTTCGCGCCCCGCCCGTGGTCCTTTGTATTCACCGAAACTCCCTTTTATATGCTCTGAAACAAACACAGTTAGAGAATTTATATCAAACAAAACAAACACGTATACGTTCCCACAATATCTTCACAATTTAGCAGATTAACTTATTCAGCTAAAAAACTTAATTTCTAAAATTAATTACGCTAAAAAAATGATACAAAAATTTCAGCAATATGACAGATGAATAGTTATTGGAGAACGTTAATGCTCCTTATGAATCTTAACAAAGTACTCTGCAATTTCGAATACACTGTTACCTCCACAAGGATTCTAACTAAGACAGTGGGGTCGAAATATGGAACAAACGAACGCAAACCAGCTAAAAATGACCCCATTCCTTACGTAACCTACTTGAAAATAGATATTTTACAAAATCTCAAATGTTATAAGCCAAAGTTCGTGACACAAAAATAATTAATGATAGAATGTGGGGAAAAACTCTGAAAAAAAACAAAAAGGAAAAGTTGTGATACGGTAGTAAAAAGACACCGGAGCAATCGCAAACCACCTAACTCCTAGTACTACTATACACAATAGCGAGCATGTTACGGCGCCGATTTTATCTACAAGTTAAAAAAAGAAATTACTGTGAACCAAGCTTTTTACCAAATTCAACGTGATGGGTGCATTACAAATTACCCTCTCAATTCACCTACAGAGCTTTTGCGATGTAATAATGATAGCGATGCGGTGACTAGACGGTGCTGAGAAAATGACAGTAGATCGGCTGGTTCAAGGGGTATTATATCCACAGCTAGTTCATGAACGGACACTACTACTGTGGGGGATGTGGGTGTCATTTGATATCTGTGGGTATCCTCTTCTCCTAAAGCTCATGGACACCATACCATGAGTGAGCTACTGAAGCGCTTTCCAAATATACGATCGAGTACAACAAATAATACCAAATAATAGTCACGAACGCTGAAAGGTCCAAAAGCATGGACCACTGGTCAGCAAAAAAGAATCGAATGACCACTGTCAAATCCACATCAGGAAGACGCTGGACAGTACACTTTTGCCAATGAATCGGCGCCAGCCGAGCCAATTAGCGGTCGAGAAGGATGGAATGCGACGCAGGTCACGGAAGCATCGTACTTTTTACGATGCGCTGATATCTCCTTAATCACAAAATCTCGCTTTCGAAGCACGAGTAAACTTAAAATCCTTGAAAATTAGAAATCCATGTGAAATTTACCTGCAGGCATACACGCTTTTCCATGTTCCACATCCGAAGGCTGCCATCATGGCTTCCTGATAACAAATACAGTCCATTAGGGTCAATAGCCAGAGAAGAAATCCCTTCGACATGAGCAACAGCACTGTGCGTTAGTTTTCCTTAAACGAATTTGAATAGTAATCAGAAAACATAAGATGTAAGAAACCAATTGCCTGAGATACAGACCCGTGTGGTTATCGAAATAGCGAATCTTGCGATCATCACCGGCCGTAATTGTCAAAGGCATTGTTGGGTGAGAAAGAATCCGAGTTATACGACTTCCAGGAGATACATCTGAATGTAAAAACCTTATTTTCATACCACATACCCGTCAACGACAGATTTTTATATGACAAACAAAACAAATGTGCTGAACGAACAAGCAATTTGGCCAAATCCCCCATTTTACTCGGTGCAAGGCAGTTTTTAATCTCCTTAGAAAAACCCCAGAGATTCCCATTATTCGACGACGAAGAAACAGTGAAAGAGATTTCAGAAGGCTGTTCTAGATTAAAATGACTTACATGATGGCAACCTATAAAAATCTCGACTTTTTATTATGAGAGGTAAATAAACGAATTGCCAATTAGATACTGCAAATCAGATACACGGAAGGGACGCTGACCTTCTCCAAAATCAAACGTCAAGATGGTTGCACCCGTTTCAATATCGGTAATAGTGGCCGTCGATGATGTATAAGCGGTAAGAAGTTGGCTTGGCTCGGTAGACACAAAATCAACCGATGTTGGTATGAGTCCAGCAGTAGGAGCATCCAAAGATCG